CGGAGATAGGGATTAGCTCTATCTAGTGGGCCCAACTGTGTAGGAACCTGAAGACGGAGATAGAGTCCCATCTCCGAAACGTCGTTTTACGTTTTTACGTTTTATATTTACTAGACGATGGATAATATCCAAGCAAATTTTTATTCAATTGACTCTTCACCATCGTCAAGAAGTTTTAGATTTGATATAACAATTTGTTTGTTTGCTTAATTTTATATTGTAGAAACGGACAGAAACTTTTCCCCAGTCCAATGCGAACTAACCCCTCCCCCCTAGTCAGTGGTTAATGCTGCCACTGTTTCATCATAGAAATTTGAGGTTGTGCATGTCGTTGTTACCCTCCCTTAGAAATCGCAGTCTGGACGCGGAGGATTAACTACAAGATAAAAAGAATAAACTCCTTGGAACGTTTTATAGTGACTGTCGGTAAAGTAATTCCCTGTTTTCACGGAAACAAAACTTTCGGAATTTACAGAAGTCAACCACTTTACCCTATCTCGCGAAATATCCCACCTATTCGTAGACTATTTATTTTAGATCAATTTCAATATCAACCTCGCATCTACGCCCAAATCTTCTAAGGCTTCTCTTCAGACTGAATTTCCCGACAAAACTTTTGTACGCATTTCTCAATGCCACGTGTGTGCAACACGTCCACCTTTCGAATATCAGAAGTGAAATCTTGGAGTCAACCAACTTCTTAACTTTGTGAGAGAAATGTGGAGTCACTGATCGTTACGACAGATACCGCAGTGTTGTAGTTAGGTGGTATGAATATTTATTAGAAAATTTGTTTTCAAATAACTGCAACCTACTTCTTCACTTAAAGTAATAAAATGTCTCGCAAGAATTCCAGGAGGAAAATTCATTAATCTACATGCCATTACCTTTAGAAATTTTTGATGGGAGACAAGTAAACAGAGTTACTTCCCTTTAAAGCGAACAAAACACTTCTTCAATTTTCTAATATCGTTGTTTCTTAATAATAACTTTATTTAATGTGAAATTTGAGATTTTAACGGACGTGAATGTGACAATGTTGTTCTTTGCGAGGCCATGCGGACATGTAGGTACAGACCGACGTTTGGGTGAAACTGTCTCCACCTTCTAAATTGATTTAGCATGTTACTCCGAAACGTCGGTCTGTACCTACATGTCCAAAAGGCGTTATAACAGAAAAATAGCATGGGCAATTTCAAGTTGCTTGTCGTTATTACTTATTTTAATTGTTAAAATCACTGTCAACTAGACCACAAATTACCTTTCCTGTTATCTTCCATTCATAAGCAGCTGTCCATTATGCTCAAAATTGACTGATAATTTTTTTTAGTTTCCGATGATAGTACCCCTTCTGCTGAAGCTGGAGTACAGGTAACAAGAAATATCTAGGATTAAATGCTTAAGCTAAGGCGATAGCTAATCTATGTCAGAAGGTTTCCGATGACGGTGCTTTACAATACGTAAAATTGTTATTTTGTTCAAATTAACCACTACGTTTCAGAAGGTGGATTCTGCTTTCTTCTTCAAATATAAAAGGTAGAAAGAGGGCATAGTGCCTATCTGTTGAGCCCCCCCGGTTGAGCTAGGCTCAGACCTGGTCCAGCGAGACCCAGACAAACTTTCTCTCCTCTTTCTCCATTCTTTACGTGACGACGAAGCAGAATCAAGCCTCCGAAACGTAACAGTTACACAATTTCACAATTCAGAGGATGAAATAGTCCAAAATTACAACTTTATATGTTAATCTTAAAACCTTGCATTAAGTGCAGTTTTATCTAAATACATAAAATCGTGCATACAAACAAAACTGTGACCATTTTGAAAAGACACTTAGTGCCAAATGCGTTTCGACCTCAAGAGATCATCATCAGTGGCAAACAAATTTATTCATATTAAATTATACAATTCATAAGACGATGGTTTATTATAAAACATAAGATGTCGCACTTTATAAAACCATACTTTATGTAACGCCACAATTGACGTTAACTCCACAATAGTCAGTGAATTAAGTGTCTATTCAAAGTGTAAATAGTTCTGTTTGTACGCATGATTCAATATATATATATATATACATGTTAAGATCCCTGGTATTATAAAGTGCTGTTAACTTCAAACGATATCTTCTAGCTGGCAGCTTCGTAACGGTCCTTTGCCCTCGACGAGTTAACAGCGCTTCAGGAAACAAATATAATTGTACAAAGATGGCTGTCTTCTGGTTGTGGCGATGAGACTCATGACCTTGATGATGGAGGCAACAAAGACCTGTGAAACGTTGACAGACTTATCCCAGACTACACAGAGCTACCACCCGGAAGACAACCACCTTCGTTCTTACTGTCGTAAGGAACTGAAATCGTAAATATAATAATTTTTACCTCTCATGTAGATGTACGCGGTACCCTTCATGTTACGCCGGGTCAGCACCACGAGATTCAGCACGTTTCCCAGAATCCCAAGGCAGCAAATGGCCGGCATGGCCACTCCGTAAGAGTAATGGCGCAGCGTCTCGTCCCTAGGGTCGTCGTCTGCTTCTTCTCCAGGATGCTGAATGACCAAGGACGTGGAGTTACGGAACGCCGAACACGAAGACGCATCCTCTCGCTCGGGTAACAGAGACTCCAGGCTGCCCATATCGACGACACAGTGTTACGTTAGGCTGGACGCTTCATTAATTTCTTTCCCGTATTTTAACTTCTTCGCTGTGCGGTTACAACACTTCTAGCAAGTCAGATTTTATATCAGAATTGTAGTAAAGTACTTCGCAAATGTTCGTGGTAATTTTTCTTTTTTCAGGAAGACGAACACAACACTTTCCGCTAAACGGATTTACGACAGCATATACTGTATATCTCTTAAGCATTCGTTACTGTGACATGCTGCTTATATTGACAAACACTTGAGTAACGAGGTCATATATGAAGTGTTTGAATCGTTTTGTTTCAATTATGAGATAAGAAACTTAACACATGTCGTACGTATAATTAAATTTTCTTTTTACTTAGATGACAAAAGACCTACATTAACTCTGTTAAATATATACTTATACGCACCATAATTATTACATGTTGCGTAGTATTTGTAATAATTATTACTTTATTATTTACAATTAAAAATATGAGCACAACTTTTGTAAAAGTAACACGGAACATTGTAAAAGTAACACGAAACATTGTAACATACAATGAAGTTATAATATTACTTGATTTTTGCTTACATAAGTTTCATATACTTTAAATGCGCACTGTGCAAGTAGTATTATTATTGCGGACGTCCTATCTACATCTGGTGAGTTATTTTCCAGTTATTGGTTTACTAATTGAGAAAATATCTTCAGTTTTTATGTGAAGCGATGTCACAGAGCTGATAACATTTCAACCTGTCTCTTATACTGCCTCACTATCATAAGATTCCAATTATTTTCCTTGAATTACCGATGAAATGCGTATAGCATTCTCTTCTTAAGCAACTGCGGTTTCTTTGTACCTTTAAACGATTTCCAAACTGAAGGAGCATGACAATTAGATTTCAACCAATTATCACTTAATTTTCTCCAAAATATTGTAGTATTCATTTATAATATAAGACATTAATAGCGTGAAATAGGTTGCCTATCTCTGAAGTCAGCTGTTTTAACAATCTCTGCTTCCCATGTGGCCAAATGCACGCGACCTCAGACTGCTTCTTGGAAACCAACAGGCCGACCAGACAGACCACAGACCGAGCAAAATTAATGCAAAGAAAGTTATTTTGGTATCGGAATCCAACAGCAAAATTGAGGTTATCAGTTACGTAAACCGATTATCGTAAGATATTTAATTTAAAACTGTTATAAAACTAGAAATACATTTAAAACACTGAAATTAGTTAAAAAGAACAGTGCCTGATGGCTGAAATGTGTCCGTTTATTTAATTAAATTCATGTCATTTTAGAGAACGTAAAACAATTCTGTATAATGGAGATACGCAGTCGGTTTGGACATGATGTTTCAAAGCAAGTACTACACGTCACATTTCTTAATGACGTTACAAGCCTTGTCACTTCCAATAAAAACTTCAAAGCTTTACGGAGATTTTGCACGAGTTTATATAACAGCAATCCTATATGAAAATAATTTTTTCAAGTCTTCTGTTAGACAACCTCGTTACTAAACTAACTAAAACCTACACTTTAACGTTTAAAATACTGAACCTACTTCAATCTTGTCGTTTTTATGTTTGTATTAATCTGGATTCTTCAGTCTACAGATTAATCTGTTGATTTGTTATAATACAATTTCCTGTCAATTATTATTCGCACGTTTATTTCAAAGGGAGTATTCGTCAAAGCAATTAAGAGTTATTGACACATTCCCACATAGACAGTCACCTGAAGGCGGCTCTGGCAATGAAGGCTAGCACGAAATTCGTACTGCAGTTGACAACTTGCTATCTCTACTTCCAGACAGCAGCACAAACACTTGCCAGTTTTATAAGATTAATCACTGCAATTCATAACGATCCGGGTTGTATAGAACGACTGAGGCAAGTTAAATTTAAGAAAAATAATTAATAATCCCGAAAGGGTACAGCCAATCACAGCTGATTGATGACTTTTGGGAGTAATTTACACTGCCAGGAAGTGGAACACAATCTTGTTAGGGAAACCAGACTTTCATAATCTGCGTTCTGCACAAACCAGTTCCAATAAATTTTAGTTCGTCACGAAACAAATTATTTAACTATATTAAAACACACGACCAGGAGCCCAAGACAAAGATAATTTAAAAATTTATAACATATTCTGGAATATCAATAATAAATATTATATCTGATATCTCAATGTTTATCAGATAAAGAAACTCGTTTCTCTTCTAATCGTCTGACGAAGATAAGCCTGCAAACAAGAATTGAGGTCAAGCTAATGTGTTTAAAAATTACGTTTTGTCCATTGTAGTGCCATTTGTTCCTTGACTTTAATCCAGGAGACACACGTCAGAAAAATTAGTATTATAAAAACACTGCTCAAGGTTCTACTGAAAACCATCGTTGGTTTACAGCTGGATAACTCACTTATACTCTCTATGACTTTAAAGGGGCACAATTTTTACAGACGTAAAAAATTCCTTCCCTAATTCATGTATGACACAGTACGAGTCTGCTGTATACGTAGGAATTCACAACGAAACACCTCCGGTGGGCTGATCCCAGAGGTACTCCATTACCGGCACAAGCCAAGACCCTCGCCTTGTATAGACATTTTCGTTGTATCCCTTTCCAGTTGCGCCTAATTAAATTCTTCTTCACTCATTCTATCATTTCCTCACTGATCTTTACACAGAGCAGAGTGTTAACAAGAGAATGGGTTTTATTCTCTACGATGACATAACATCGTGTTTCAACTAAATCTGCATACACACGTAAAACGAGATAAAGTTTCCAGTTTTAAAATATCTAAGACAAGACTGAAAAACTGTAAGAAAATTCATGTAAAAAGAAAATAATAACGAATTTCATTCAGATGTCCATACTTTCCGAAGCTTTGAATAAAAACAAGTTTGTTACATTAATATTTAAGAACAACTGTTCAACAAAATGTTTAATCACATAACCGTCCCGTCTTTGGATGAACGTATCGGACACTATTGTGTTTCGCCCTGTTGCCTTCCCGGAAGAGGGAGGACTGATGCAGCCCGCTAAACACAGAGCTTTATATATATATATATATATGGTGGAACTGCTACGCGACCTCTCGAGGTGATCGACTGATGTGATCGATACACGCTCGTTCCATGCTCGCGACGCCACTCACGGCGCTACACTGTCTGTCAACAGGTGATTGCGGCTGGACCAACCCTTTACGCGTCTGCGCCGTCTCAACTCGATCCCAATTCTCGAGAATCGATCGTAGCATTACTATCACTTATAATTAAACAACCGCGTTTAATTATGTTTGTACAGGAGAAATGTTTCGCAGCGTCACTGCTAAGACAGCAAATGGAAATTATAATTATTACAATTATTGGCTTAGTAAGAACTTAATTGATACTTTGTCATAAGACACAGAATTTAGTCTTTCGCAAGTATCACAATAGTATAAAGTATCCAAGCTATGTTTTCAAAATTTACGGAAAGAAACCTTTATTACTGTTTCAAATCTAAAACTTCTTGACGATGGTGAAGAGTCAATTGAATAAAAATTTTCTTGGATATTATCCATCGTCTAGTAAATATAAAACGTAAAACG